CCACCGACCCTTTGGATGACCAGGGCAAGACCCTCTATTGTCATTGTTACAGCCCTTGCATCATCTGTGTCGAAGGCGCGCAGCATAGCTAAGGTAAATGTCCGGCAACTCTGGAACAGCGTGGGTGTCGCGTCTTGATCCTTGATCCGCAGCACGGAAAGGATTGAAAAGGTTCTGATGTCACGTGATGACGGCCGTGACGAGCGAGGACAGCCTCGACCCCCAGGAGACAGCCAGGAGACCTCCAAGGGACCATGAGACCACCCGGAGATCGGTCGAAAACCCCAGGCGCAAGTACTGCACTTCCCCTGGTGTACTGGCGGGTTGTAGCTATACATATGTGTGTGGGACAGCAAACTATCTAGCACGACAGTACAAGCAATGCACAATCTTGGTTTCAGTGAGTAGTAGTGCCATATACAGTAGGGCTGTGATCTTAGTGCCGCGGAAATACTCCGACATGATGTCAGGACGACCCAGTGGTATGGATGTATAGCTACCTCGTTGAACAGCACAAGACTCTTAAACAATTCTGTCTCGGTTTAGCAGTAACAAAGAGATCACGCACACGGATAGTGTTTAACGATCCATTACGAAGATATGGTGGGAAGACTGAGTATCTACTAGATAGTAGCGCATGGGACAATGATTCGTCACACAAGCGACAGGTAAAGTCTTGCTAGAACTTACGGAAATGACCTCCGGCATGGAGTCATGGAGCATCCCTAACCCTAAACACTAGACCCTAAACCCTGAACCTTAAACGCTAAATTCGAAACCCCAAACCTTCCGAGGACTGGGCCTGACATTGCTGAGCCGGCAGTATGTCTCCTTCACGAAGCTCTTGTGCAAGTGGCTGAGGGATACCAGGCGATCCCGTCAGTGAACTCTTGCGGTTTAAGGTTTAGGGATCAGGGTCAAGTGCAGACTAGGTTGATGAGCGAAAGCACATGACGACCGTTTAGTTGCGGTTGAAAGGGTTCCAGGCATTTGAGTGGCGGATCAGTATTGCCATCCGTGTTGGACGTTGACGAATTCGGCAGGACTCTGCTGCAATCGACGCAAGCCTGCGTCGAGCATGTGTGTGTGCATATATATATATATATATAATGTGCTGAGTCAGCCGTCGTGCAGCGCACTTACGACGAACGATCTCTGGGGCCCTTGGAACGCTACGTTCGCCTCGCTTCCCCGACACAGCGGTCACCATGCGCTTCAACTTACAAAGACCACTCAATCGAAGTATCCGGTAACTTGCCAGGCCCCAACTTATTTACAGTCCCCTTTTCCGTATCCTGCATGTCAGTCTTTTTGTGGATGCTCTGGCTCAGCTCTGAAGATTTTCGTAGCGCGATGTTCTTCCTTGATTCAACGGAAGCTTTCCCAAGCAATCGTTCCATCACTGTCAGGGTTGTTAGTCGGTACTTCGGAGTCTAGGGACTTAGGGTATTGGGATTCGGGTTGAGGGTTAAGATTTCGTGCTCCATGGGTACCCTCGGGCCCTGAGAATCGTGTCGTGTGTAATTAACATGCAAGTACAGCACCTGCACTGTCAGGCCGAAATGTATGCCGGAGACGTTTCCATGGACGTCCATATCGGTCAACTGCAGCTTGTCACCAATCAGTATGAGCTTTAGACTTCGTTTCCACATTATGGCCATCGGCAGCCTAGGCAACTACGCAGCCGCGAGACATAGGGACAAGAACAACGCGGGGCCCTCCATCATCAGAGCCTTTTTTGAAGATTCATGGCACATGGTGTTACGTTTGCTCATGTTGAAGTTGAAGCTTTAGGACACATGCTTTAGACGGGCGACGCTCTCACGCTGAGCCTCAGTCACGTACGCCTCAGAAGCCGTTTTTCTTTCTGCATTTTGGAACTAGCCACCCGAGTGTTCTGGGTTGGTTTATGTTTTGGAAGTCTTCAAGTTACTGCGGTCTTGGATGGAGTACTCGGGTAGGCGTTTCAAGTTACTTCGGCCTGCATGGAGTAACGGGTAGGCTTAGCCGGTCAGGTTTGATTCCGGACACACCTGCATCCGCCGATGCGGACACAGACACAGGCACACACACACACAGAGACACAGAGGCATGAAGATGCACACCAAGGAGTGGGTACCTGTGCAACCGTGCTTGCATCTTTGCACGTTGACACACATCTGTGAACAATCAACAACGATCTCTCGGGTCGATCAGGTAACACATGTATGTTTCAACCTTCAAGGCATAAGATGCGAATTTACGCTTGGCTTATTTACAACGCTTTAACTTAATTGCAAAATGACAAGACTGTGGGAACACATGAGCCCAAGAGTATAGTACTGGTAGCATCTGGCTTAAATAAGTGAGAGAACATGAGAATGCAAGGACAGAGGACAAGAAGACCAAACGACCCACAGAGAGGGCTGGAAAAAATGGAGGAGTTGAATCTTTGGGGAACCGGAACACAAAGAGGCAGCACGTGATCAACCATTGTCAGCTACTTGATCGTCGTGTCATGTTTTAAATGGCAGCAGAGACATCACCAGTAGTATCCAGAATCATCCACAACGCGTTTCAACCGATATCCAGCGAAGGTAGCGCGGTAGCCCATCTGCACAGTCATATGTTCAGCTTACTACCTTACCTTAGTCTTGCCATATTTGGCGAATATTCAGAGGGTTCGAAAGGACAAGGCAAGACGCAAGATCTAACCCTAAAACCCTCAACCCTACACCGAGGAGGCTTCGGCAAGTACAGCGGCGGCGAGTTGCTGCCTCCAAGCTGCAAGCTGCAGGCTGCAAGGATGATGATGGCCTTCAGGGTGGTGTTGATGCTCCAAGTGCTGATGGTGGTGAAGATGATATCAGTTGTACTGGTTACACGCATGTAGAAGATGATTATGATGGTGATGCCGATTGCCATGGCCCTGTATGCACTTGCGCTTGACGCGCACTGTTGTCAGTATCAGAATGATGCAGGATGGCTCTTGATTTTCATTTGAGTTTTGAGCACCTAAGCCGGAAAAGCTTGAGCAGAGATCCACCGCAACGGATCCGCATCGGACCGGTGTCGTTTGCATTGTCGTATTTGCTAGCTACTGTGCTGTTAGCACTGCAATGTATCACACCGGACTCGCGAAAGCCCGCTGTCTCTCGTCATCACCATCATCGCGATCACTAATCCCATCAGTCTCATCAGCAAGGGCTGTTCCGATTCCTGGTTCATCCGGAGGTATTGGCCCCAAGATGCGCGAGAAGGGCCGGTATCTGGCTTGGCGTCCACCCAAGCACGGACCTTGCCGCTTGGTGTATTGTTGAGGGGGTGCTCATTCAGAGCCACTGGTGCCAGCTGTGCTTCTGCTGTTGGGTCTAGTGGTTGCTACTTGGATGCAGGCAGCTTTGCCCGCACAATCAAATGTCTCGCTTGGCTAGGATCGTTGTGGTAGCTGGTCGCGCGAAACATGTCATGCCCAGATTTCCTAGATTCTAGACTTCTGTATTCAACGCAGGCTTAGCACTGGAGTCGCGTCCGTCAACTTGCTGGTTCTCCACAGTCACATGTTCCAGACTGCACATGACCGCTGCATTCGCTCATGCGGTCCTGAGTAGCTAAGTGAGTGGGCTTATGTTGCACTAAGTAGTGACTTGGATGTGAACTGGGTGTGCTGCGGAATTGCTTGCTGTAGGCTCTTCATTTCCCAACCGTCCCAGTCACGGAAAGAGTCGACGGCTTTGACTCACTAGTAACTATATTTTCACCATGTGTAACTCCATTACAGCACTCCCTAAGCAGATATCTGGCTGGGGACCCTGCAGGTGAAACACTAAACCCTAAACCAATGACAGAAATATTTTAGAACCCTTTAAAGGAATCCTTCTAGAACCCTATAGATGCCTTACGGGAACCCCTACTACATCCGGCCTAGTTTCAGGTCTGTGAAAAGGAAGGCGCACTTGCTGGATGGCACCAGAGCTCATGAAGTTCGGCAGTTTCGAGGACTGGCCCACACGCTCACACCCTTGGCTTACGATTACCGACATGGTTTCAGGTGATTTTGGGGTTCAGGGCTCACCATAGTAAAACCAAGAAATGTCGTAGTCGTCGTCAGGAGTTATGGACTTATGAGGATTATGTGCGGGGTCTTTGGGTTTTTTGGAATGTTTGGGGCTTGGTAAGACTTTGGCGTTTAATTTGGGTATTACGGATTGGGGTTTGGAGTATGGCATTTTCGGGGTATGTTGTATGCAGTTTGGGGCCTATGGCCTAGGGTTCAGGGTTGCCGTGATCTTTGGAAGGATGTTGAATAGCCCACGGTTTGGAGAGACAACCACTGCCAGCCAACAAGACTGCGGACAAACACAAGCCTCCAGCAACATCAGGATACAAAATGTTAAATGCAGGACCGTCCTTGTGCCTTCAAACAGGGGTATATGGTGCCACATGATGGATATTTGGGCCCTCATAGGGGGGAGATGGAGGGATCAACCCTAAACCCTTTATTGGGGGGAGATGGAGGGGCTAGGATTATCAACCTCAAACCCTAAACCCTGGATTGGGGCGACATGGAGGGGCTAGGATTGTGGCTCTTCTGCTGAAGACCTCTGGGTCGGCTGGCAAAAGGAGAGCGCTTCTCGCTGGTGTTCTACAGCACCTCGTCACTCCACAACTCCGACTCCTAGGGTACTAGGGGTTTAGGGTCTGGGGTTTAGGGTGTAGGGTCAAGGGTTTAGGGGTTTAGGTTTAGGGGGTTTGGGTGTAAGGGTTTAGGGTTGCAGGGTTTAGGGAAATCCGATTGCCAGATTCTCTGGTTAAGGCTTTAGTTTTCTATCTAAGGGTCCTTCCGAGGATAGCGTGTTCTGTGTGGTTTTGTTGCTTGGGGTCGAGGAGTTCCCAAATATTGGGCGTCGGAATGCAAGTTCTCCGTTGTCAGTGTTTCTTGTGTTCTGGTGTTTTGACTAACTACGTTCCAACAGCCCTAACCCAAAAATTCTGAACCCTGCAAATACACGTAAACCGTGAGCTTCACTGTGCAAGAAAGACGACCCACGCACTTACAGCCTGCGGATGGAACGAATTAAAACCCTTTTCCACGTTTTAGTCTGCGTTTTCGATGCTTGAAAAGGGCTTAGGGCTACCCTAATACCTTGCATCTACCTAGTAGGTTCTTTTTGAGAATACCTAATAGGAGCCTAAATAGAAGCCCCGAAGCCTATGGGTAGCTTTCAGCCATGTCAAGACCGGAGCCACAGCCCGTTCGGCGGTGAAGTGCAAAGGGTAGCTCCCGTCCCGCAGCCCGATTCATGTCCGTGCTTCAACAAAGCGGTCCCAGGTTTACTGCGTGGCTTAGGGCTTAAGCCAGGGTTCTTCCTAATTGGGAACAGGGCTTCGGGGTTTAGGGTTTAGGGTTTAGGGTTCAGGGTTTAGGGTTTAGGGTTTTAGGGTTTAGGGTTTAGGGTTTGGGACCCTGCCATCCACATCCTGAGAAGTTTCAGCAGCTAGGGACCCAACATCGCTCAATGGTTCAAGTTTTTTATTTCAGGGATTCGGCGATTGGAGCCAAAACAGCGAAGCTGGATCCTAAACGATTCTTTGTCCCCAATTCCTCAACCCCCAAACCATAAACCCCGAAGTTCTCGATTGTTACTATTGCTATTGCAGTATTATCACGATCGCTACCACCATGACTTTTAATATTATTATTACTATAGAACCTTAACCCTAAACACGTAGAAACCCGTAAGCCCTAAACCCTATAAACCCTAAACCCCTAAACCCTAAACCCGAGACACGAAACCCCTAAACCCTAAACCCTAAAGAAGCCAGGTTGCGGGAAGTCCCTGAATGCCACCTCGGCCGTGAGAAGATCTTTGCAGAGCCTGGGCTTTCGGCCACCGACCGCGGAGGCCGCCAAACCTTTAGGGTTTCTAGGGCTTTAGATTTGAGGGTTTGGGACCTAGGGCTTTAAGGGCAGTACGGGGTTTAGGAATGTAGGGCTTAGGGGTCCATGGTTTAGGATTTAGACTTTACGGTTTAGGGGGGTTCAGGGTTTAGGGTCACGGGTTTACGGGCTTTTACAGCGTTTCGGGATCTTGCATTTGGGCAGCTGTTTGTGAGTCTGTTGGGTGTGCTGCGATGGAAATCTGCTGCGTAGGATGCGGAGCTCCCTTTTGTCGCATTTACGAGGGTGTGTGCATGTTCAACCTCAGATATGTACATGTACTTCTGTATGCTATACTCCCTACCGTTTCAGGTAGGTGCGGCGGTTATGGAATCAAGTCCAACCCTTCCAACCCATCATGGTTTGAGTGACTTGACGGTACAATTGCAGCACGAATCGAGATTGACATAAGGGGTCCGAATAACTAGCATTGGTATTCTTTAGGCGTGATCATCACATACCCTAAAGCCCTATTCTAGGGACTCAGACCCCTACCTTAGCTTTGATTTTTTCTTTCCGGCATGGGTGTGCCACACCAGAAGAAGTCATGGTCCAGTTCCTCATTCAGCGGCGTGTCAGTATTGTAAACTGCAGTCCAACTTTTGGCCTGATTCTGCGTTGTGAGTACATACCATTCATATATCTGTTTGTTTTCATAGACACACATACGTTACATACATATATACACACATGTCTATCTGTGTGTGTAAAGGCCAGGCATGTGCATGTAAATATACCTTGACTCGGATGCACCATTCCGTTGAACTAAGAAAAGCTTCGTTGCAAAGGGGCACACAGGAGCAACAGATAGTATTGGTCTCAGCAAGCGTATGCCATTTTCCTTGTGCAACCGTTCCAAAAGCAGTTAGTTATA